CTGCTTAGTAAGGATTAAGGTCACAGTGCAGTTTTTGTGTACTTGGAGAACAGTTGCTCCTCGCTGGGACTTGACGCTCGTCATTGAGGATGACAGACGTTTCAGACTTCGTTTGAATCTCTTTATTTTGTGACCCCTTCCAGAAATCTGGCATAAACAGGATGAGCTCACAAATCTAATTTCCAAAGGAGACCAGGATGAAAGGTTGCCCTTTTTTGTTTGCTTCTTGCAGCAAGTGGAACAAGCTTGATAACGTCATTTTTAGCCAGCAAGGAGCACCACAGAGCATGCCAGGGCTTGCTCACTAGGAAAAATTATTGGATTTCCTCATCTCTCCCCTTGTGATGTACTGAATGAGGAGTCTGAATTTTCAATATCACTGTTGTTGGGCTGTGAAAACACGCAGTAGACCCAGGAAGGTTTTGAGAGCTTGCAAAATCTGAATCTTGGAAAATGAAACTCCTCCACGACCACCACGACCCCTCGCTGTCTCTCATCTGCACGGAGACAGTGTGGCTGTGTGGGGGCCGCATCCTGCAGCTGTGGGTGCTGGTACCTGGCTCCGGGCACCTGTTCACCCCTCACAGCCCGCAGTGGGGTTTGCAGCGCAGGGGACTAAACACACCGACCCTTCTCCATCGGAGCAAATCCAGTGATGTGATCATCAGACTCCCCAGTGCTGCCTGCACGCGGCCGTGTTCCTGATCTCTGCGGCAGTCCCTTTCCAAGAGCAATTAAAGCCTCCTAGACGGTTGTCTCTTGCCGTGGTTTTGTCTTCAGCTGTAGCTTAAAGATAGTAAGTAAAAGTTGTCTGTGCTCAGTGAGATCACATCCTCGTTTGTATCCTCCCGAGACACTTGGTTTGGGAAATTCTCTTCTGATGAAGAGTGTGATATTAATCAGTCCTCTAGGATTATTTCCCACAAAGCTTGTACCTGGGAGGAATTTCTATTAAAATGTCAGTGTAGTGAGCAGGATTAAGGCTGTTCTGTTACCTCTTTGGTGCTCACATGCTAGGCAGAAGCGATACACTGAGATAGATTTGGCTGAATGATGTTAATGTGTAATTTTGGGGGTACATCTTTTTTTCACTGGGAGCATCCTGTTCTTCCTCTGTCGTTAAACAGACTTTCAGGAATTTCTTGTGCCTGTTGCAGTGGAGGGAGGAGTTCTGCTGAATCTGCAAATCGTCGATGAAAGCTGTTTTTTGTTTTGGCTGTATAAGAAAAAGATAAAACGTGCAGTCGCCAGCGTTTCTAGACGGGCTCAGATGGCAGGTCCATCTGGTGCAGCGTCCTGTTCGAGGAGCAGAGCAGCATCTGCCGCCGTGTCCAGAGACGGAGCACGCAGCCCACAGCGGGCAACCGTGACACGATAATGCTGCGTGTGCCGCACGATGTGGGGTCTCATACCAAAGCCCTGAAGCGTTAGGATTAACTCTTTTCCCAAGATTTGTTCATTTATAGCGCTGCTGGTAAAGCAGGTGCTCGTATCCAACATCTCCGTGCCATTACGAAGGAGTGAATTTGGAGAAGGCTGCCCGGCGAGGGCCGCTGGCAGAGCTTCGGGCAGGCGCGGGCTCGAGGAGGGAGGGCGGCTGTTGGGGTGCATTTAAGGGTGAGAAATTTTTCACAGGCGAGGAGATAGATTACCCCATTTCTTCAAGAAGAGGGAAACAAAACAAGTATTACCTGGTCAGTTTTGAAATCTCATTTATGAACGAAGGAAATAAGTGCAAGCTTCATTTACTTTAAGACTGGATTTTCTAAGGTGCGACTGGTGTAAGCTGTTTGTTTTTTCCATCCCGCTGGAGGTTTATACTTTCTCCCCTCCACAGAGTTTTCCCCTTGCGTGGAAGCATTCTGTACAATAACCCTCCCTGGTTTGGGGTTTGTAGCCTGTGTCTTGTGACCAGTCTTTGAAGGAAAGCGCTTGTGACCTGGTTCAGAAAGAAAATAAATTTTCAGAGGTGTAGGGGCACGGGGTGTGGACACAGCTTTGAGTTCTGCAGGAGTTACTGCCGGGGGGTTAGCTGTCGGTGCGGCAGCGCTTGCAACCCTGCATAGTGGCATGAAGTGTGGGAGTTGTTGCCCTTCCCTGAAAACCCAGTTTTCCCCTTCAAAGTGTGTTGGTGTACCCGAAAAGGGTCAGGAGGAGCCCTAAAGCTGGGAATCCCGCAACATCCAAGAATCACGTTTATGTGCTGGTGAAGATCCCATTGTCATGCACAGTAGCTCTGGAATAAATTTTCTTCAGGAAGTTCTTTAAAAGGAGAACTTAAAGAGCTTAATTTAAAAAGTCCCATTTTTCCCCTTTGGCTGTTCTCCATCTTCCGCCCAGCCCGCTTGGCAGGCAGTGGGGCGAGAGGTGGCTGGTCGTCTCCCTCCACCGTAGGGGCTTTCCGAGGACACGGGGCGAGCTCCCCCACACCCGGCACTGGGCCCGGCAGCCTGGGCTAAAACAAAGGCATCGTTTTTCACATGGAGTATTCTCCTCGTACCTGAAAACAGAGCTCCTTTTGACCTAAAGTATGTGTAATTGCCTTAAGATCCTGAGTTGTTTCCTTTTCAAACTGCCTGCTGAGCCGTGTCTCAGTGCCCCTTTTAAACGGGGCCGTCGCCAGGAGCTCAGCTTCTTCCAAATCCCAGAAATTTCAGGTTGCAAGCTCAGGTCTGAAAACAAGAAACTGCTGCAATCTGCCCGCTCCCTGGTTCCACAGGGCGAAGCATGGTGATGGGGTGGAGGGGTGAGGAAGAAGCCTCGTAGCTTGTATTTCCTTTTAACCCATCCTACCTGCCCACTACAAACGGCCTGTTTTCTGCCCCTGATGGTTTCTGCCTAACAAATGGTGTTTCTTTTTTACAGCGTTATGATCCTGGACTTGTTGTGGTGATGGTAAACTTAGCAGTGGTAATTTTTTATTTTCAGACTGAATTACTCCTTTTGTCATCAGTGCACCAATGTTAGGCTTACTTTCTCTGTTGTAGCCATCATCCTTCTGCTTGGTCTTTCATTTTCCTTTCCTTTCCTTTCTTTATGCACACTTGTCTGATCCTTGTTCATTAAAGGGTATTGCTAAGAAGGGATGTTTCTGTTTGTGTTAGAACTGCCAAAATCAGTTTAAACATAAATTTCTAATACTGTCCAAACTTGATTTTTTCCCCAACACGATGGGCACTAGCACTTGCTACTGCAATTTCCAAATAGATTTCGAAAAAAAAAAAAAAAAAACCAAAAAAAACTTTGACTGCCTTAGAAGGCAAAAGTACTGATGCTTTGTTCGTGCGCAGGGGTTTACCAGGGCAATGAGGCTGCATCGAAACATCTCGATTGCTGGAGAAACAAACAAACAAAAAACCAAAACAAAAAGAAAAAAGCTTGAAGAAAAAAAAAAAAGCATATAAATTGTTGGCACTGGCTGCCAGCCATTCCATTTGGGTTCACCGCTTACCAGTAAATCCCTGGCTGAGACGTTATGAAAGTGATATTGCACTTAGGAAGTCATTTTTATAACCTGTCTTTAATTTGGTCCTTTTGCTAAAAATTGCAGTCACTGCTTACTTTATTATACCATTGGGCGTAAGAGAAACATTTTCAAACAGAGAACACTTAAAATACCCAAACGAAAGCTCGATCCAAAATACTGTTTTGGATCAGCGTGAGAAGAACTAATTTTGGACTTGGTGGCTATGTGCCTGTCAAACTTCAGGTGTATAAACAAAACCGGAAAGCGATGAATTAAATGGGCTTGTTTCTGAAGGAAAAACCCATGCCTGTGTGCTTCAGGAGCTCAAAAGGAAAGAGTCTGCCCAGAGCAGGTGCCCTCGCAGGACTCCGAGGAGTCCGAGATCGGTGGGCTGCCGCTTTCGCCGGGGCTAGAGAAAGCTGATATTGGAGGAGAGAGAAGCTGATGCCTGGACAGGTTTTCTGAGGCAGTTAAAGACTTTCACCTTTTGCGCATGTGGATGGCAATGAAATATATTTGGCATGATTAAAACCTGTCGATCTTTTAGCCCAAAGGTATAATATATGTGTATGTGTGTATAACAAACAGTTGTTTACACCAAACCCAGAGCAATAATAAGGGCAGTAAACATTCTGTTTTTTCACTCAAGGTATGCACCGGAGAAGGTAAGTACTTTTTCAGTGGGCTTACATCACAACGAACAGCGCGAGTTGTGATGTAAATATAAAAATAATAATAATTGAAAAAAAAAAAAAGCTGTGGTAGTAAAGTGCTTGTCTGCCCCATTTTGCTTTGTTTGGCTGGTTATGAGTGGATTAAAGATATGTTTTTAAAAAAAAAAATCTCCAGCATAGTTTGATTAGTTCAAAGTCAATTTTCTTCGCAACTAGTCCTTTTCACAGCTTACGGGTGACACAGCGAGTGGCAGAGCATCTCTCGGCGGGAGCTAAAAAAAAACTGCTCGCCCCCCTGGCCTGGGCCGGGCGGTCGCTTTGGGTGGAAGAAGTCTGGCTTCTGTGCCGTGCTGCCCGGTCAGCTTCCCTTACTCTTGGGAAGGGACGAAAGTTGGCGGGAGGGAGGCTTCCGCATCTTGTACAGGAAAGTCCTGATCAATTATTAATGTGGTAGAGCAGTAAAATGTATTTAACAGCTTTTTCACAGGCAGCAGCAGATGAGCAGTGTGTCTTGCCTGATGCGGAAGCCTGGAGGGGGAGTGTTCGTTTCTCAAGTCCTGTTAAGAGCCCTGCCCTAGGACTTGGCATGGTTGAACATTAACCGCAAGAATATTTTACGTGCCCAGTTAATGTTCAGAAAATACCATTTATCAGTACTCGGGGTGCATTGAACTGTAACCGGTTTGGAGCCGAGAAGCAGGTTTGGCTGTAAGCTGTGAGAATGGCTTGGGTTTGGTTCACTGTAGCTTTCTGGTCTCTGCACTCCAAGGCAAGATCTCTAACCACCCAAACCCAATGTGTAAAGCGAGCTGTGGCGACGGGCCGGCCGCTGACCACCTCTCTGTGTGTTCCTCTTGCAGGGAGGACAGATCCCATCCCTATCGTCGTCAAGTACGATGTCATGGGCATGGGGCGGATGGAGATGGAGGTAAGTGCGCCCGGCTCTGGCTCCTGCCCTGCACCCTGTCGCTCCTTGCGTGGCTCTTGGGGACTCAATAGGGAAACCATTTAAAAATGAGAATTTGCACATCAAAGGTAAAGAAAAGCTTGCTCTTAAATCAACACAGCAAGAAAACACTTGTGCTCAAAATACATACTGTGTTTACCTGTGGGTACCTGACTTCTGAGGTCTGGATGCCCTCTGAAACTCCTGGGCTTGGTGATTTCACTTCGGCAAAGCTGAGGCCACTGCCAGCAGCGGATGGGCCTGCTGGGAGCCTCCGCCTCGGAGGATTAACGAGCCAGCCGTTCTGCGTGTGGGTTACGCTGGGGGAGGATCAAAGAGGGAAAGTGCAGTACAGTGTGCAAAGATTCTGTTTCAAACCTCGTTTTTGTAGAATTACGCATTCTGGCAGACTGAGTAGTGCAAAATATTTATGGGACAAACTGCATCTCTTCTTTTTTTTTTTTTTTTTTTTTAAAAGCTCGACTACGCCGAAGATGCCACTGAGCGGAGGCGTGTACTGGAGGTGGAGAAAGAAGACACCGAGGAGCTGAGGCAGAAATACAAGGTACTGAGACAGGGGCGTTACCATGAGAGTTCTGTGGGCAGAGTGGGGGGGATTTGTTCTGATAGGACAGAGCGGTTTTCGTTAGGCTGCAGCAATGGTAGTAGGAATTCAGCATTCTTGTTTTGTCGTTGTTGAGATTATTTATATTTTAATGCACTGGTAATTCATTTCCTGGAATTAACTTTGATGTTTTTGCTGCTTAAGAGCTACAGCGTAGCAGCAGGGCTTTCTCTGTGTGCTTTGCTCCAGTTCTGGCAAGAACGGTCCTAGGGTAAGCAGAACACGGCCTTCCCCAGGCCCAGGGCTGCCCGGTTTGATTAGTGAACCTGCCAAAATCTGCAGACGCACGTGTTAGATGGGCAGTTCCTGGAAGTGGAGCAGATCTTCTGTTGTTTCTGAGCAAGCCGCGCGTTACGATATTGTTACACAAATCCTGCTTTCCTTGAAAAGGCAGGACATGGCTGCAGTTTTGAGAAGTCAGTGTGCTGTGTCTCGTTGGAAGAATTTCTGAGGCAACATTAAAAACCCCCAGAAGATTTCTGTATTTCCATATGGTTTACAAAACCTGTGGGTTTTTTGTAAACCAAAGACTATTATCTTTTTAATGATAAAAATGGGCCCTCGTGTTGGCATTTGATGTGTTGGAGCAAACTTGGCTGAGCTGTGAGTGTGTTCTCTGTGGAGACATGGTCTTTGCTAGTCCTTTAATCCACTGTGCCACTTACCAGCCTGTGAACTGCATCAAGTCTTAGGGAAACCTGCTTGTTTCATTGTCCAGAGATTTGACAAGTACTGGGGTTCAAGAAGAGCCCATGACATAAGAATAAAGTGCCAGTTTTGCATAAATTTTATTTCTTTGAGCAATGATGGAAAAGGAGTTTCAATTCCATTAGAATTAAATATAACCATGGCAAATCTAAAATTCCATTTCACCAGTTCAACAGTTAATACTGCAGACAGTTTATTCAGCTACAAAAATTTGTAGCCTCCTTTCCTGATTTTTTTTTTTTTCCCCTTGAAGTTGAGACCTTGACTTGCTCACTAAGTGAATTGCTGGTATATTTGTTCATTTAAAAATAAAAGCCATTGTAATTACTTTTAAAGCTAATTATTAGTTTGGAGCTGAATGCAGTTAATGATCTCTTCTGGCACACTTTAAAGTACAAGTATGCTCTTAAATGGGCTCATGCAGCCGGTGCTGAACAGTTCCTCTCGGTCCAGGTGCATGTTCTTGAAGATGTTTCTCCGTTTTGTTGTTTTTTCTCTCCTGCTGGGTGGCATGCTGCTCGCACGCTGCAAAGGGAGGGTTTGGCCGTGACGTTGGCCGTTCCCGGGCAGCGTGCGGCTGAAAGCTGGGTTCCCTCTCCGCAGCAAATCCCAGCTGCGATGCTGGGCACCTTCAGACAGCAGCAGCTGTCGAGTACAAAGTGTCTCTTGGTTTGAGAGCGGTTGGTAGGAGCTCATGTGTGAATTGGGTGTAATGATGTTTTATCTGGGGTCTGCAGTGCGATTTATGGTGAAGTTCTTGGGTTTTGCAGTTGCCTTTCCAAGCGCAGTCGAACAGGCGCTGCTCGCTGAGACTGTTTTGCCTTCCTGCCATTATTCAGCACAGCTTTTTTTTCAGGAACTCTGTGGGGCAACAGCAGGCTCTCCCAACTGGATGTGTGTCTATTAGCATGCTTTATCGTTGGGCTCTTGCATTTCTTTATTAATCTGTGAAAAATCTCTGCAAGCGTCATTTTTTTTCACTGCTCCGCAGGAGTCCATTATGTAATTGCCAACTGTGGCCGCATCCTGATTAGCCATTCAGTGAGTCTCAAAGGAATTTCGGATAACTGCAACTAAGAAGCAAGCAAGAAATGTTCTTTAATTCCCTTCTTTTGTATAGATTCTGATCACTCCAGTCGCTGTGTTTTCATTGTTTAGCCACAGGATGCTTTCTGAAAAAAACCTACACGTGGCGCAGGAAGCTTGTTCAGGGTTTCAGAGGAACTTTAAATGTCATTGTTCTGTGGATCTCACGTTGCTCTGTTTTCGTTGCTTGTCTTCTTGGGGACCCTTTTCAGGCTCAAACCTCGAGATAGTTTTGTTGATTTTCTTCTTAACAAGGGCCTCCAGTAATAGATGGAAGCAGGAACTTGAAATAATTTTTTTTTTTCAGTTTAGAAGGTGAACAGTGCTTTAAATGGAAAAAAACCTTTTAGCAGTACAATTTTTCAGTTTGGTTTTTTTTTACCCCCTCGGGTTTTGAAATTTTTTACATGATTTTTGCATGATAGAAAACATGCTCAGCAATATTATTTTAATATAATTTTGATGTGGTAACTGGGAGATAAACCATACTGCCTTGGACAAGATATTAAATAAAAAGAAACAAAGCTTCCGTAGTATTGTCCTTTTTAAATGTTTGCTAGCTCCTCTTGCTAATGCAAGGAAATTTCCCAGAAGTAATTTGTACGGAAGACAAACTCTTAGGTGCTTTTTCCTCAAATGTTAGGCTATTTTTTCTTACATAACTTCTCTTTATTCCAGTTGAAAAGCGTATGGTAAATAGCTATACAGGCTATGCTGATGTTAGTACGGCGTACTTCGTCATGCAGCATTTGTAGCTTTTTTTTTTTCCAGCGTGCATCAGTGTGCTTCCATCTTGTTAAGGGAAACCTTCCCTGGCTTTCTTGTAAAGAGCAGCGATGTTTTATTAATTTTGCCGGTGGGATTGTGACTGAAACGACCTGGCTAGAGGAGGAGGTTGCTGAGCCCCCGGGCACTGAGCCCTCAGGACTGGGGGACGGGGCTCGGGGAGCAGCACAGGCTCGCTGCCAGGCACAGGGGCTGTGTGCCTTGGACTGGGATTTCCACAGCGTCCCAGAGCTTTTTGACTCTGCCAGTCCAAAAGCTGCTGCTTTTCTTTACAGCAAAAAAGGGGAGGATGTGACCATTGCCAATTTAGACACCTCATATTTTCTTGGAGGTTTAGTTTTGCACCTATACAAATGTTGAATTATATAAGAAAAAAATACTGTCTGCAGCCTCTAAGGCGATCTCCCTGCCCATCTTTTGTTGAAAGGCAACTACCTGTACCCACTCCAAGTGTAATCACTGTGTTTGAGCTTGGCTTAATGGACAGCATTGCTCCTGGGAGGATTTTACTGACTGTAAAATGACACTGAAGGGAGTTAGGCTCCACGGTTTCTGAACTGTGCTTTCCCAGCTGCAGCGCTGGGTTCCTCCCTGTTGAATTGCAGGCACACTGAGATCAAGCAGACATCTGTTAGCACTCAAAATGGAGGAAGTATCAACATTTAAAGTTCTAAGATTCTGTTCCAAAAGCAGTGATCTTCTGTGGTTTGATGCATATTTTGTGCACCTTATGTGAGCAGGCAGCTGCCAGTTTGTTTGTGTTAGCTTGAGGCTTTGAACCTCTTTATCTGAGACTCTCCTTGCAGCCCCGACGGCCTTCCTGCCATCAGCACTAGATTTCTTTCTCTAAGCAGTCTCCTTTTACTAATACCTGTGCTACTGACAAGGTTGTGTTCTATGTTAGGAAACTGAGTCGGGGCTGGGTTTGTAGTATTGCAGTTATGCTTTGTACCTTTCAATTTGCAAAGACTGGTCAGCTGCTTAAATCAAATCGTCGGTGTACGCTAAGTTTTTCTGAAAGACTATTTTTCCTTAAAGAACTAGTTCGTTATCTTCCAGTTTGTTTTACAGGGAGTTTAACAGAAGATTTTTTTTTATTAATTTTGCAGGATTATGTTGATAAAGAAAAGGCAATTGCCAAGGCTTTGGAAGACCTCAGAGCAAACTTCTACTGTGAACTCTGTGACAAGCAGTATCAAAAGCATCAAGAGTTTGACAACCACATAAACTCTTACGATCATGCTCACAAGCAGGTAAACACGTGTTGATAGCACGGTTCATCAGTTTGATATTCACTGCAGCGTGTCTGTGGTTACTACTTTGAATTTCCCCAGTGTATCTTTTTTCCTCATAGCCCCAGGGATAGGTGTTTTGTGTCACTGGTTAAGATTCGTATGCCCACCATGCATTTAAAAAAACTCAAAACAACAAGCAAAAAACTGCAGCTCACTGCTGGCATCAAGGAGAGCCCAGTTTTGGATGACCCATGGGCTGGAATGGGCTGCTGCCAGACTGGGACGAATACAGATGGATGTGGATGGCTCCTAGTTTGCATCAGCTTTTAAGACAGTGCAGCTCTGGAGACCGATGGTATGCCACGTGGGCGCGTGGTAACGCTTTAGTCTGTGTTCTGTCCGGTTACTGAAAACAGAGCAGGCTATGTCCAAGGAACTGTAAGAAAGGAACACCTTCCAAATTTTCTAAGCCTCCGGAGAAGGTGGATTCAGAGTCTGGAGGAGCTGGCTTTGGTCCCAAGGTGGGGATGTACCGCAGTATCTACATGACACCTCATACTGCACAGTAAATAATAAAAGTTCCTGTGTTAGCCCAATCTATTTGACCATTTGAAGCTGCTAAATGAGATGTAAATGTACAGCAGATAGCAGCGTTGTGCTCATCTAGAGATGAAATTGCTCAGAGGAGGTTTTTTGATATTCCTAGTCATAAATTCTGACAATACCATCATTAAAATGCTGATAACTTCTGGAGGCTGTGCTGTAGAGTACTAGATCTTGTAAAATAGCAGTGAAGCAACAGCTTAAAAGCAAGAATATGGCGTTACAGAGTATGGGTTGTGCCGTTCCCCTCCCCCCATGCATTAAGTATAGGATATGATAGTTGGAGGTAAATTCACAAGGGGATCCTTAACAGCACTTCTCATGGCAGGGCAATTTCTGTTTGAGTACTGTGATGAATTGTGGTTTAATAGGATTAAGAACAGAAATTATTCATGTACTTTGTGGTGGGAAGATGGGCTGCTTTGACCGAGCAGTCAGTCGTGATACCTGATAGCAGTGTACTTCAGATGAAGTTTTCCATCGACTTGGATGAAACCTGAGTGCAATTACACACATCTACTTAGGAGATGGAGGGACCTGTTGGCGTTGCATTCTTACAGCGTGGTGATGCAGCGTGATTATATCAACTCCTGTTCAAAACCCTTGGGTCGTTAAAAGGGGGCTGACGTGAGGCTGGCAAGGCTGAGAGTCTTGCTAGCATCTAGAAATGCTGCGGAAGAAGAAACAAACCTGTGGAAAGCAACCACCCCTCATTGGTATAAAAGGAGTCATCAGCAGGGGGGGCAAGAAGAGTGACCCGAAAGAAAAATGTCTTGGGAACAATGACAAATTACTTGGTGTAACCTTCTCATTGGTAGAAAGAATCCGGGAGTTCCTTGATACTGCTGGTTATCTTTAAAGGATTGATGTTCTTGGATAATTTGCATCCGTTGCAGTAACTTCAGGCAGGCTTTGGAGAAAATGAGCCTTCAAATTCTCACTGTGTCACCCAGCATTAATTTCTAGTTACACAGGGATTTAAACAAAGAAGCAATCATGCTTTGCTTAGGGAAAAAATTGCTTGTCCAGCTTTGTCGTGCTGAAATGTGTGTCGCCCCATTGGGTCAGTGTTCAGGCAGTGAACTTGAAACTACCTAGAAATAATGAAGGTAAATTTGCATAAGTAACACTATCTGGCTTCTGTTGTTCGTTACCGCTCAAGATAGGCTCATTTTGAGCAGTCTATCCTAAATGAGAAGGTAGTTTGAAAAGCACTGTGGGTTTTTTTTATAGTACGTTGCACATTGCTGTTGCACATTTTGCCTCTTTGGACAAGGCGGCAAGGCTACATAAAAGCTAACGGGGTTTTTTTGGAAAAACATGAAGTTTTCTTCAAAGTAGGCTAATCAGTAGGCTTTCCTGGAAAGATGAGACATTACGGTATCCTAGGTAATTAGAGCAAACTGGCTTGGTATATATTATCTGCAGTGTTTTGTCTTCTCAGCGGTAATTCTTGAGGCAGCAGTGCTTCATTTTTGCCTTTTTGTGAGCTTGTTGAACAGTTTCCGCCGGTTCATTTTTGCTTTTAAGTATTTTTGGTTAAACGTACCCGCGACATTGAAGTGTTTGCTTATGCCTTCTGTGGCTCAGGGAGCATTAGGCTGTCCCTGTAAATAGATGTTCCACCCTCAGATCCCTTTCCGCTCCCGAGTTATAAAGACGCTGTCTTGTATTCCAGGAAGGAACTCAGGATTATTGCGAAACAGGGACGATAGGTAAGTGTATTGATCCCTACCGGATAAATTTTGGACCCACCAACTTGTCAACACCAAACAATTAAAGGGGAGGTTTTATTATTATTATTTCCTGACTATACTGGTTTCATATAGCATTCAGATATATCTGAATCAACCTCAACACCAAGTTTCTATCCAAAAGCCAGTATTTCTACATTACGTTAACTGGGAAAATAATCTTCAATTTAATATCACAAACCATTGGCCTAAGTTGTTGTATTTTAAGCATCTTGTTGGAGGTGTGCAATGTTGTCCTCTAGATTTTTTTTTTTAATGTGGTTGATACTTGAAATGAGAAGTGCAGATGTTTTAAAGAACAGTAACCCTATCTAGCCACCAAATGGTCAGTCCCTCTCAGGGGAAGCCAGAGGACTAAAAGCAACTTGAGTTCATACAGATGGCACTGCAGGAGGAAAAATAAACTCGGTTCCCTTAAAGATGCTTCAGTGAGCAACTGAAAAATGCTGTGACCGTAGATCTCGTAACTTTTTGTACCCCTGGAAGCTACTGATACCTTTAGTGGGCTTTCTTCAGGTGTAAGCTCTTGAGTCGGGCAACTAGAAGGACTGGCAGCTGACCCCTGCCCCTGCTGTTGCACAGTCCTGACTGTCAAAGGAGGCATCATGATTAACAGACAAATGCAGAACAAGGCAATTGTAGGAAGAAAAGTTCTCTTGCAACTAGTGAGGAACTTGAATAGAGAAGATGGACCCAGGGTATTTTTTTGCTGCTTTCCTGCAGATATGTGTTGTCGAGATGCTTGAGAGCTCCCACAGTCCTGGAATACTCTGGACTTGGTGGGAGTGTATTCTTAGGGTGTTACGTCCAGGTGGGCCCTGAATTCGGTTTTGGGTTCTGGTATTGCAATAGAACACTTCATGTTAGATTTGCGTGAAGATGCAGGTGGGTCACCTTATCTGGGGTTGTACCCGAGTAAATGTCAAATAAACCTAATCTGTATTGCCTGTCACTTAGAGCAGCTTGCAAAAATTGTTACGGTTGGAATTATCTTAGGTGTAAGTAATGTAGCACTTAGTCAGCTGCTGCTGTCTTTGTACTTCATCCAAGAACTAATGTAGAGAATCTCTCATAGGGTCACCTCTTCCTGCTGGCACGCCTGCTGAAGGGTTGAGCTGTTTACTGAGTCACTGACCCAACAGAGTAAAAACATTCACCTTCTGAAACCAGTGCGAAAACCAGTCGTGTTCCTGTGTGAACTTCTGCCAGGCTCACTGTGAGAACACTAACCAGTATTGAAATGCAGTCTTTTACATAGTTTTTGGTTTATTTTTTCTAAAAGTGTGGCATTTTGTAGATGTAGATGATTAATTCTGCATAGATTCTCTTTATAAAATGACAAAGGGAATAGATTTCCATAAAGGAGCTCTTTGGCAAAGAGGGTGGAACTAGGAACTGAAACTATCGATCTGCAGTTCTTGTCATGCCCTAGTGATCCGAATCTTTGCTTCTAATGCCAAGGGGGAGGGATCTGCTAAAGCACAATAAAACTACCAACACAGTCACTGCTGTGGTGGTTGAGTACTCTGAATCCAACCCCTGAACTTTCTGCTCTGGGGAGAGCTGGGCCTGTGCTTTCCAGCCACTTGTATCTTCAAGCACAGCTTGGGTTAGAAGACCAAGGAGAGAATCTCTGAGGTGCTTGCCGTTACGTGGGAGGCTTCTCTGCTGTAGAGATGCTTTAGCCTCAAAAAACCCATGGTATTTTTCCTAACGCAGTAGCTGCTCCTTTGCTGGTGGCAAACACATTTAGGGAAGAGCATTTATACACGGAGTGTTCAGTAAGTTCAGTGTGCAAGGCCTGGACATGGTGATTCCGAGCGATGCCAGCCTCCTGAAGGGCAGGTGGACCTGTCGGTGGGTGATCTGTGTTGCGTTAACGCCTGGTCTATCTTCCCAAGTTGCAAGTGAAGTGTCAGGGAAGAAATTAAGATGAAATAAAACTGCAGTTGCGTGCCATTTCCCCTCTGCTCTTTTCACTTCATTTACAAGCGTGCAAAGAATGTTGATTACCAAAAATAAGCAGAGCTTGTGTTCTCACTTATATAGAATTATAAAGGTTGCCATCCTTTGAGCTCGTATTTAGCTAATGGTGTTCTTTGCTCCCAGAAGCTTTTGTGGCAAAGAATGGAGCATATGTCAAAAGTTCAGAAAGCCAGAAATCTGCTGGCGTGTAATGAAAAGTACATTATTATTTTATTTAATAGGGATTGGCAGAGAAGCTTGAGAACAAAAGCAGGGGAGGAGTAGGCTCTAATGGGATTGTGCTGTCACATGAGCTGCCTCCTGTCTCAGGCCAATGCAGAAATCTCACTGTACGGGGATCCGGGCTGTCCCCCTCTCCTGAGCATAAGGTTTGTTGTCAGAGTCCCAGATCTTCAGGTCTAGTAAAGCAGTGTAACGGGGTGCTTTTTTGATTCCGAGAATAACATGAGCTCTGTCTGCTCTGCAATTTTAGACAGAGTCTCTTAAATGGGCCTCAGTTCAGCGAAATTGCATGGCTTTGTCAACTTAAATTGAGAAAATCTGTTTACCGCTGGTCCTGAACCCGAAAAGCAGCGCACTCCAGCTCGGAACTGGGGAGGTCTTACCTTGGTACAATCTCACCAGCAAAATCTGGTGTGTGATTGCCACAGCATGCGCTGAGTTTCTTCCTGTTAC